GCATCACCATCGTGATCAGCAGCAGCAGCATCAGCATCAGCATCAGAATCGGCATCGTCAGCATCATCATCAGCATCAGCATCATCATCATCATCATCATCAGCATCATCATCATCATGAGCATCAGCATCAGCATCAGCAGCTGCATCACCATCGTGATCAGCAGCAGCAGCATCAGCATCAGCATCAGAATCGGCATCGTCAGCATCATCATAATCATCGTCATCATCAGCAGCATCATCAGCATCAGCATCAGCATCATCATCCTCAACATCATCAGCATCGTCATAGTAAGCTTTAACAGCAACATCATCACCATCACAACCACCACCACCATGACCAGCATAAGCACCACCATGACCATTAGCATCATGATCAGCATCATCATCATCATCAGCATCATCATCATCATCATCATCATCGCCCTCAGCATCAGTATCGTCATCTTAATCATCAGGATCACCATCATCATTGATCATCCTAATCATAATCGTCATCAGCATCATCATCAGCATCGTCATCACCATCATCATAATCATCATCAGCACCGTCATCATCATCAGCATCGGCATCGCCATCATCAACACCATCATCATCAGCATCATGATCATCATCAGTATCATCATCACCAGCATCATCATCAGCATCATCCCCATCATCATCAGCAGCATGAGTATAGATCCTTATCATCCTCTTCCTCCTCCTCGTCCTCCAACTACTCCTCCTCCTCCTCCTGCTGGTGCGCCGAAGAGGGAGGATAGGCAAGAGGGGGGGGTGCGAAGCATGGCCCCAAGCATGTACGGGGACGAGGAGGGGGAACAAGGCACGTGTGGTAGAGGGGGAGGAGGAGGAGGAGGAGGAGGAGGAGGAGGAGGAGTAGGAGGAGGAGGAGGAGGAGGAGGCGGAGGAGGCGGAGGAGGAGGAGGAGGAGGAGGAGGAGGAGGAGGAGGAGGAGAGGAGAGAAAGGGCACTCCTGGCCGCTTCGCGCATCGCGCCCCGCGGGGCGCGACGATCTCCGCGCCCTCGCGCCGCCCCCTTGGAGAAGGGCAGCCGCTCTGGCCCAGACCGCGCCGCGCGAAGCGCGATTCTTTTCGCGCCCCTGTGCCTGGCCCCGCCGCCGAGAGGCCCGTGACAGGCCGAAGGGCCCCCTCGTCCTCCTCCTCCTCCTCCTCCCTCCTCCTCCTCCTCCTCCTCCTCCGCTCCTCCTCCCCCCAATCCTCCCCCTCCTCCTCCACACGTGCCTGGGTTCCCCTCCTCCTCTCCTCCTCCTCCTCCTCCTCCTCCTCCTCCTCCTCCTCCTCCGCCTCCGCCTCCGCCTCCGCCTCCTCCTCCTCCTCCTCCGCCTCCTCCTCCTCCTCCTCCTCCTCCTCCTCAACGCGTGTTGACCTCTGGGACGCACCATGGCCCCGCCATGATATCCACACACCCGAGTCACCCCCCCCCTCTTTGACGCCCGGTGGTTTTCGGCATCGGGCCTCCCGCGGGCGGCCGTCTGGGGCCATCCCGGCACCCCTGGAAGACAACCCTCGACGAGGCGACGCGCAGCGGCTGGAGCCAGAACAAGCCTGGGAGCCAGCGAAGACTTCCTCCAAGCATCAGGCATCCCATGTCTTTGGACGCCCGAAATGGGTACGGAAAAAATGGGTACAGTGCCCAACAACAAATGTTGCCCCAAACCAACGGCGGCCGCTGTTGGGTAGGCGGCCCTCTGTCTCAAATGGACACAAGCCGCGGCGGCGCGGAGGGCGAGTCCTGTTCAGAATGAGCAGGAACTGCTGATGGGCATTGTACCCGTTCTTTCAGTACCCATGTCGTGCGTGCAGAATGTCTGGGATTGGTCCGCACGGGGCCCCCGGGAGTCCCGACCCCTGCCCCGGGGCCCGCTCGTGATCCAGGGGACTTGTCGGACGGTCCCACGGCACGGCGAGGGCCCGACACCAACAAAAAAGAGCAAGAAACAAAAACAAAAAAAAACGAACATGCCCCACGGAGGCCGAAACCAACAAAAAACAGCAACAACCAAAAAAAACGAACAAGCATGTCCGTCGTGTTTTCGCTCAAGAAGCGAAAATGAAAATGTCTGGGCTCCTCCCTGGCCGCCCCCCCCCATTTGACGCCCCCGACTCCTCCTCGCCCCCTCAGGGGTGGGGCAGGGAGTCAGGCCAGACGAGAAGGGGGAATCCCACCAGCCCTTGAAGGTGCGAGTGGTTTTGGGTGTTTCTGCGTATGCTCCTGATTACAATTGTGTTTACCAGTATGAAATCATTACAAAAAGTATTGCCAGAGTGGCTCGTAGTATTATTTGTAGCCTTCCCCTTCTTAATAATGATCGTATCCGTAATACGATCACTGGTGTTACTAGTATTGTTAGTACGATTGCTAGTATTATGAATCGTAATAGTACGACCCGTCTCATGATTGTTCGTATTCCTGTACTAGTACTACTACGGATGCGAATACCAGTGTTGCTATAACTGTTAGTCCTGATGCTCTAAAGTGTGTTAAAGGATACATATGTATATTCCCCAATAATCCTAACACTGGGAATAGCATAAGTAGTGCTAACAATGATACGAATCATATCAATGATATTGCGACTCGAGGTGTTATGATTCCTACATGTAGTATAATTCCTGCTATCACGACCGTAGTACTAAACAGATTGCTAGAATTATGAGTACTCGTACATCTTGCCTCTTCCCCTCCGGGCAAGGGTTTATCCTACCCCGTACCCCCTACCCCTGGGTCTGGAAGGGGGGGACCGCGAGATGTCAGAGGATCTTTTCGACCTCGGCCAGAAAGCCCAAACCACTGATTGTACTAAGGTTTCGGCCGCATGTGGGCCTCCTGGGGGGACCCAAATTAAGGAGCCCGCCTTCTGTGATCGATATCCTCCAAGATGGCCCCACGAGGACCCTCGAGGCTCTCAAGTGTGCCCCAAGACGACCCCAAGAGGTGCCCAGGAGATTCGAAGAGGCCCCCAGGATGCCCCAAAGATGCCCCCAAGAGGCTCCCAACAGACCCCAAGAGGCCCAAGAGGCGCCCCAAAGGCACCCAAGACGCCCCAAGAAGCCTCGGCGAAAAGCCCAAAACCATTGATGTTACAAAGGTTGTGGCCACATGTTGGCCTCCTGTAGGGAGGGTCCCTACGGAGCCCCCCTTCTTAGATCAATATCGTCCAAGATGGACCCAAGATGGCACCCGAGGCTCCCATGAGTGTCCAGGGACGGCCCCAAGAGGTGCCCAGGAGGCCCCAAGAGGCCCCCAGGATGCCGCAAAATCCCCCAAGAGGCTCCCAAGAGACCCCAAGACGTCCCAAGAGACCCACAAGATTCCAAGAAACTCTCGAAAGAAACCCGAAGAGACTCCGAGAGGCAACCAAGAGGTCTCTGGCCTGTCTGCTCGCCCTCCTCCTCATCATCATCATCCGCCTGTTCCTCCTGATTCCTCCTCCCTCCTCCTCCTCCTCCTCCTCCTCCTCCTCCTCCTCCTTATCCTCCTCCTTCTCCTTCTCCTCCTCCTCCTCCGCCTCCTCCTTCTCCTGTTCTTCCCCATTATCCTCCTCCTCCTCCTCCTCCTCCTCCTCCTCCTCCTCCATCCTCCCCCTCTTGGGGTACGACGTCTCACCCAGCTCGTTATGCCATTGCATGCTTCTCCACATCCCTGATCAGGGCAACTCGTCTGGGCATCGTTTCTGGATGGCCTGGTGAGGTTACGCGAGACGCCCAGAATAAAAAAAAACGGGGGGGGGGGAAACAGCTCACGTAGCTTATCTCTCCGGCGCCTCTTGGCATCTTGGCGCCAAATGCCCCAATGCATTGAGGAAAACGCCCGGCAGCGGGGCCGACCAGGGGCAAGTGAGAGGGGGCAGGCCGTCTCAGAAGGCGGCGGGGCCTCTCAGAAGCCCTCGCGCCTTGTGCGAAGCCGCCCGTGGCGTCGGAGAAGGCTTGCAAAGCTTCTCTTGAAGGCAAGGGCGTCTGAGAAGCCCCGCCGCCTTCTGAGAAGGCTGGCTCCCTCCCACGTCCCCCTCTGGGCTCGCTGCCGATCCTGTCCCTATCCCCCTTGTAGAGGCCTCCCAGATGGGGTCGGAGCAGATGGGGTCGGAGGATCGCGCCGCATCGTCGATGCCTCGCCGATGCATCGGCAGTGTGCTGGCGACGTCGGCGATGCATCAGCGCCGTCGGCGTGGAGGACATCGGGCTGCACATCGAGCCGACTGCCCGATCCATCGGCGATGCGTCCCGATCCTCCGACTCCATCTACGCGGACCTCATCTGGGAGGCCCAGACACTGACTCACCACGCGGTGTGGTCACCACACCGTTTGGGGGCCCCCGATCCTAGCTCGGCGGCGAGCCTAGGGGGGAAGTGAAACGGGGTGGGCCTTCTCAAAAGGCTCGGAAAGCCTCCGGCCTTCTGAGAAGTTTCCTGAGCCTTCTCCGAAGACACTGGAAAAACTTCTCGAAAGGCCAGGGGGCTTCTGAAAAGCCTCGCCGCCTTCTGAGAAGGCCTTCCCCCTCTCACTTCTGAGGAAACAAAACGGTACTGATACCGCTACTCCCCAGACCTCTCCCAGGGTGCGTTCTGACTTGTATTTCAAGGCGAATCCAGCGGTTGCGACGAGGGCCCCCCGGGAGGCCAAAAAAAAGGAAATCGAGGCAAGGGCAGCAGCAGGTGCACCATGGGCTTTTTCTGTTTCAGTTTTCTTCGATCTTGCTTGAACTCCCCCCCCGGGCGCGCCACCGACTGGCGCCTCCGACCCGAAGGAGGCGCCGGGGGAGGAGGAGGAGGAGGAGGAGGAGGAGGAGGAGGAGGAGGAGGAGGAGGAGGAGGAGGAGGGGGAGAAGGAGGTGGAGGAGGAGGAGGAGGAGGAGGAGGAGGAGGAGGAGGAGGAGAGAAGGAGGAGGAGGAGGAGGAGGACGAGGAGGACGAGGAGGACGAGGACGAGGAGGAGGAGGAGGAGGAGGACGAGGACGAGGAGGAGGACGAGCACGAGGACGCCTGCTCCGCGACGAAGCCCTGCAGCGAGAGGACCCGGAGGCGGGTGCTCCCGGCCTCGGCGCCCTTGGGGAGCGCGGTGGACGCCTCAAAGGGCCACCGCGGCGGCGGCGAGGCTCCCGCGCAAGGGGGGGGGAGGAGGAGGAGGAGCGAGGAGGAGGAGCGAGGAGGAGGAGGAGGAGGAGAGGAGCGAGGAGGAGGAGGAGGAGGAGGAGGAGGAGGAGGAGTAGGAGGAGGAGGAGGAGGAGGAGGAGGAGGAGGAGCGAGGAGGAGCGAGGAGGAGGAGGAGCGAGGAGGAGCGAGGAGGAGGAGGAGGATCGGGGCGGAAGGGATGGGAGGATGATGCGGGGCGGGCGAGAGGGGTAGGATGGTGATGGGGAGGAGGATCGGGGCGGACGACAATGAGGATCGGGACGGATAATGATGATGTTGATGATGTTGATGATGATGATGATGATGATGATGGTGGTGGTGGTGATGGTGGTGACGATGATTGTGGTAATGCTGGTGATAATGATAATGATGATGATAATGATGATGATGATGATGATGATGATGATGGTGATGATGATGATGATGGTGATGATGCTGTTGATGATGATGGCCATGATGATGGTGATGATGATAGTGCTGCTGATGATGGTGGTGTGGTGATCATGATGATCATGATGATGATGATGATGATGATGATGATAATAATAATAATGCTGATGAGGAGGATCAGGAGGCGCACATCGAGGATGGGGGGCAATCTGAGCACAACGTCACCCCCCTCCTCCTCCTCCTCCTCCTCCTCCTCCTCCTCCTCCTCCTCCTCCTCCTCCTCCTCGTCCCCCCGCTCGTCTTCGTCCCCCCTCGCCACTCCTCCTCCTCCTCCTCCTCGGCAGGGCGGCGCCGAAGCCCTTTCCAGGAGGGGCACTCACGAGCGGCGATCGCGTCCGTACCCGGATCTCCTCGCGGTCTGGACTCTGGGGCGCGATCCCGCCGAGGCGCGGTCGCAAGAGATGGGTCCCGCGCGGGGCAGCCGCGAAAGAGCGCCCCGGAATGCGCGGGGCAGGGTCGCTTCCTGGGAGCCCGGCCGGCAGGGCCGGGCCGCGGAGCCGGGCATGTGTTGTGCCTGCGAGGACTCGGGGCGAGAGGAGGTCGGGGGGAACAGTAGGGTCCATGAGAAGGCGAAGACCCACCCTCACCCCTTCTCCTCCTCCTCCTCCTCCTCCTCCTCCTCCTCCTCCTCCTCCTTACGGACGACTCCTCCACTGCTGGCCAGCAGACGTGTCGGTAGGGCGGGCCGGACGTTTCGCTCGGCCGACACGCCGACTCCAACAGTTCGTCCGACCCGAAGAGGGATCCAAATCTCTGGGGCCAGAGTCTGGGGCATCCAACCATCAGCGGCGGGCTTCCGCCGGACAGCCGAGGCCCTGCAGCCCGGGCGCTCACGGCCGAAGTGAAGAGGCAGACTGGGAGTGTAGAGGTGGGCCTTTCCTACCGCACGGTGGCTCTCGCGGCTCCAGGGATGTGGAAGAACGTTCCCTCCCCTCTCTCCTTCTGCCGCTCCCTCTCCCTCACCTCCTCCATGTCCTCCATGCCCTCCATGTCTTCCGTGTCCTTCTCCTCCTCCTCCTCCACCTCCTCCTCTTTCTCCTCATCATCCTCCTTTCTACTGCTGTACGGGGGTCCTCTTCCCCGAATCTGCCCCCCTTCGTCTGGGCCGTCGGCTCCTGTCTGGCGTCCGTGACGTCCCTGAGGTCTAGCAGCGGGTCCACGCTGGCCTTCTCGGGGCAGAGAGCGCCTGCCTGTCGGGCAAAAGGCGGTCGTGCCCGCTGCTCCTCGCCGTCCGTAGCCTCCCTGCCTTCCGTACCCGTCTCCTCCTACACCTCCTCCTCCTCCTCCTCCTACACCTCCTCCTCCTCCTCCTCCTCCTCCTCCTCCTCCTCCTACTCCTCCTCCTCCATTTCCTCCTCCTTTTCTCTTCATCCTGCTCCTGATCATCTCCTCCTCCTTCTTTAACAGATCCTCCTCGTCCTCCTCGTCCACCTCGTCCTCCTCCTCCTCCTCCTCCTCCTCCTCCTCCTCATCATCATCATCATCATCATCCTCCACTCCTGTTCCTTATAACTCCTCCCTGTCGCACCCAAAGGCCAGTCGCGGAAGAACGGGCCGGGCGTTTCGCCTGAGACTCCTTTACCATGTATCACCCTGACGCTTCAACATTGGCAACAGTTTCACTCATGGAGGGCGGGTGGATTTCAAAATGTGGGTCTAGCACTAGCGCCGCACACACTCGTCTTAAACATCTGCAAGAGTTTCACGGATTGAGGGTGGGTGGTGTTCAACACGTGGCTCTCGCCTTAGCGCGGCGCATATTCGTCAAAAATCTGCCAGAACTTCACGGATCGAGGGCGGCTGGTTTTCAGCATATCGCTCTCGCCTTGGCGCCGCGCACACTCGTCTTAAACATCTGCAAGAGTTTCACGGATTGAGGGTGGTTCCTTTTCATTCAAAAGGTGGCTTTCGCGTTAGCGCCACGCACATATGTTTAAACAATGCAAGGGGTATCCCGGAGTGAGGGCGGCCCCTGTTGAAAATGTGGCTCTCGCCTCAGCACCCCGCATAGTCGTTGAAAAAGCATTGTAAGAGTTGCTTAGCTTCCCATGGTCAGCATACCAGTTGATCAGGTTCCCATGGTCAGGATCGTCAAAACGCAACAAAAAGGTTAATTCGTGGCTTTGGAGTCCCGAGAATGGTGTTTGGGCACATTCCAGCTCTTCAAACGGTTGTTTTCAAACGGGGCAAGTCTCTAAGAGGAAGATGGACCCTTCTACGGGCCTGCGAAGAGGGAGCCTGGAGGAAGGGTATATTCCGGCATCGTTGATGAGCAGTATGTTTACATTGATCCTCCTTCTCCTCGTCCTCCTCCTCCTCCTCACCATCATCATCCTCTTCCTCACCTCATATCCACGCTCCGCCTCATCCTCCTCCTCCTCCTTCTCCTCCTCCTCCCCCTCTTCCTCCTATTCCTGCTTCTCCTCGTCCTCAGTTTCTGTCTCCTCTTCCTCCTCCTCCTCCTCCTCCTCCTCCTCATCATCATCCTCATCCTCATCATCCTCATCATCCTCATCATCCTCATCATCCTCATCATCATCATCATCATCATCATCATCATCATCATCATTCATCATCATCATCATCATCATCATCATCATCATCATCATCATCATCATCACCATCACCATCACCATCATCATCATCATCATCATCCTCATCATCGTCTATCCATCATCATCATCATCATCATCATCATCATATCATCATCATCATAATCATCAGCATCACCACATCTCACCGTCCTCATCATCAGCATCAGCATCATCATCAGCATCAGCATCAGCATCAGCATCATCATCAACATCATCATCAGCAGCAGCATCATCTCATCATCATCATAATCATCGTTATCATCATCATCATCATCAGCATCATCATCATCATCACCACCACCACCACCACCACCACCATCATCATCATCATCATCATCAGCATCATCATCATCATCATCAGCAGCATTATCATCATCATCAGCATCATCAGCATCATCCTCACCATCCGCAGCATCAGCGGCATCAGCATCAGCGTCATCACCATCATCATCATCATCATAATCATCTGCATGATCATCAGCAGCATCATCACCATCATCACCATCATCAGCACCATCATCATCATCACCATCTCGTCATCACCATCAGATCATCAACCAAATAGCCATCAGCATCATTATCACCACCACCATCACCATCATCGTCCCATCATCATCGACATCATAATCATCATCACCAGCATCAGAATCAGCATCCTCATCATCATCAGCATCACAACCACCATGCCATCACGATCACGATCACCTCCCTCGCCCCGCTCCGTTTCTTCATCATCCTCTTCCTCCTCCGCCTCCTCCTCCGCATCGTTCTTCTCGTCCTCCCCCCCGCGTCGCCGAGGCCTCCTCGCCCACCGCGTCATCGTCCTGCTCCTCGCCTGCCCCCCTTCCACCGCAGACTCCCCTCGCGCCGCGACAAGCATCTCGACGGAAGTTTCAGTCGGGCTCGTCCTCATCGACCCTTCTCCTCCCCCCTCCTCCTCCTCGTCCTCCTCATCCTCCTCCTCGTCCTCCTCGTGCTCCTCCTCGTCCTCCTCCTCGTGCTCCTCCTCGTGCTCCTCCTCCTCCTCCTCCTCCTCCTCCTCCTCCTCGTCCCCCTCTCCTCGGCCTCGGAAACCACCGCGCCTCGGGCGGGCAGCAATCTCACGGTCCCACTGAAGGCGGGTGCTGGCACCCACAGGCCGATCGTTTTCGCGTCATCGGCGAGTTCGTCACCGCCAGCGTCCTCATCCGTATCTGCACCGATACCGCCATCATCAGACACACACTCCTGCTCACGACAAACACACTCATCAACACCATCATCAGCAGCAGCACCAGCATCATCATAATCATCGTTATCATCAGCAGCAGCGTCGTCATCGGTATCATCATCACCATCCTAGATAAAATCATCATCAGCAGCAGCATCCTCATCACCATCATCATGGCCATCAGCATCATCATCATCATCATCATCATCATCATCATAATCAGCATCATCATCATCATCATCATCATCATCATCAGCATCATCATCATCATCGTCATAATCATCATCATCGACAGCAGCATCCGCACTATCATCATCAGCAGCATCAACACCACCACAATCATCATCATCATCATCATCACCATTATCAGCATCATCATCATCATCGTCATCATCATCAGCACCATCAAAATCAGCATCATCATAACCATCATAATCATCACCCTCGCCATCATACGGATCACCATCATAAGCATCATCGTCACCATCACCTTCATCACTATCATCATCTGCATCAGCAGCACGACAACAACAACCACCAGCACCACCACTGTCGTCGTCGTAGTCGGCATGGCCATCGTTTTATTCGATGGTGGATATGACGTCACGACTCTTTCCCCATCGTGTTCATCATCATCACAACCGCCACGTTCACCAAAATCACCATCATCGCCCGCATCAGCGTCAGCATCAGCACGACAACCATCAACAGCATCAGCAGCATAATAGCATCATCAACTCAATTGGAATCATCATCATCATCAGCGTCATCCACATCATCACCAACATCATCATCAACATGACCATACGCAACAACATTGTCATTCGAGTCATCATTCGAATCATGATAATGACGGTAAAAAACAAGTATCATCGCCATTGCCGTCATGAGCAAAATCATTAGCATCGCCACTATAAGAATCGTCATCATCAACATCAGCATCGCCAGCGGAAGCAGCATCAAAAAAACATCAACATCACCATCATCATCATCATCATCATACGTAGAACCATCCTCATCACCGCACTCGCCATCATCGCCATCACCATCGTCACCACAGAAAGCTGAATCATCATCAACACGGTCGTCACAAGCATATGCATCAGCATCACCATCATCATCATCAGCACCATTATCAACGACATCGTCATGTTGATGATCATCCCCGTCCTCATCCCCATTCTCGGCATCATCACCATCCTCATAATCATCGGCATCCTCATCCTACTCATCATCGTCATCCCCATTCTTTTACATTCCTCCTCATCATGAGCATCGTCAGCATCATCATCGGCATCGTCAGCATCATCACCATCATCAACTTCAGCATCACCACCATCCTTATCACCACCACCATCATCATCACCATCAAAACTGTCAGAATCAGCACCACCACCAACATCACAAACACCACCACCACCATCATCACCATCATCACTCATGTTTACCATCATCCTCATAACCACGTCATCAATATCATCATCATCATCATCATCGTCATCATCATCATCATCATCTGCAGCAGCCACATCGCAATCATCAGCACCAATATCACCATCATCATCGTCACCGTCATCATCATCATCATGAACCATCAATAGCAACTTCCTGAACCCTGGGCCCCGCGCTGCCCCCCCGCGCCCGGCGCCGCGCTCGCCGACGTCGGTGCCAGGGGGCCGACGCCAGGCCGCGCGCCAGGCCAGCCGAAGCTGCGCCACGCTGGCGCGACGGTGGGTGGATCGGGTCGGGCGAAAGGGGGGGATAGCAAAGGGGGGGGGAGAATCAGCTCACGTAGCTGATTTTCCCGGCGCCTCCTGGCGCCGGAGGCGGCTATGTATCGAGAAATGAGCCCCTCGGTGAGGCCGAAACCAGCTGCATGCAGCAAGTTTCGTAACCCCCCCTTTCCCAATCCCCCCCTTTCGCCCGACCCGAGTGGACCGCGCCAGGCTCGACCCGAAGAGCAGAAGCTTTCAGCTCGAGCTTAAAGGAAGTGAGGCGAGTGGCATTGCGCCGGGCGGGGGATTGTCCACGCAGCGCCACGCGCTCTTCTCGCTGGCTCCTGAGCGGCGGCGCGCGGGCGCTCTTCCCCCCTTCCCTGTCAGCCCAGCATGCCCAGCCCCACCCTGCCCGAAGCCGGGGCAGGCTAGATCCCCCATCATACAGTCATCGGCCTGTCCCCAGGAGGAACGAAGCCCCTTGTGTCCCAAGGAGTAGTGCATGAGGAACGGTAAATACTACAGAACGCAAAGGAGCGACAAATAACGCATGCGAACCTAAGGAACGCATGCGAACCTAAGGTAGGTGCTCCTTACTCAAGCCGCGCACTGTAATTAATCCGACAAGCAAAGCCGTCTAGCAAACGCACCCAAGGAAGGAATCGAACAGA